GGTTGGCAATCAATAAATTGATGGTCAGTGGTTTCTCTCAGTAACCAATGACCCAAAGGGAGACCCCGAAACATCTTCAATACCTTCTGAAAAGGAATCCACCTGACAAGTAAAAATTAACTTTGATTGGTAGACATTTATGAGGAGATAGGCTAAAAGTCTTTAGCTCCTCCTGCTGAGATTGTGGCTTGATCTTGAGACTCAGCAACCTCCAGCAATTTGGGCAGGGGAAATCATCTGCATCTGGACTTCTCTGGCTGGTTTTCTCCTTCATGAACAAGGTCACCTTAAACTCTAATGGAGGAGACCAAGGACAGGTCTCCTGGGTTAGGGTTAGGGTTAGGGTCAGAGTAAGGGCTCACCTAGACTGAATTTTGTTTATACTCTAAATCAAAATTGGGTCTCCCAGTTGGGTGGAGTCCTGCCCAAAATTGAGCATGTTCCTTGAGGAGTAGGAGCAATCTCATCAGTCAGTCATACCCTTCAGAGACTGACTGACCTTAGCAAGACTTGGGCCTTTACAGAAAATGAAGGAAAAAGAGTGGATCACAACTAATAATTAGTTATTAACATAATGTAATACTAATTTTTCCCAAAGGTTTGGGGAATATAGGAATTAAAGAAGGGGGACACTAGCAGTTGATGGGATCAGGAAAGGCTTTATCTACAAGATGGTTCTTGAACTACATCCTGGAGCAAAAGATGATTCAGTGAAGTGAAAGTGAAAAGAAAATGCATTATAGGCATGGAAGATGGTCAGTGCAAAGGCATGGAGATAGGAGATAAGCTGCTGGGTATGAGGAATATAGAAGCCATATCCATCTCTTTGTTGACTGGATCATAGGGTGTGAAAAGGGGAAATAATATATAAAAAGGTTGGATAAATAGATTGGGACCAGATTGTGAATGACTTTACATGACAAACAGAGTTTATATCTGATATAGAAGAGTCATGGGAGTTTAAGGAAAATCACTTTGGTATCTCTGTGGAAGGGTAAAATGCAGTAGAAAGGTATGAGGCAGGGACTCCAATTAAGGGTATAAGTACAAAATGGTGAGGGTCTAAATAGGATGCATTTTTTTATTTTTTAGGCATTGGGGTTAAGTGACTTGCCCAGGGTCACACAGCTAGTAAGTCATGTGTTTGGTCTGAGGCCAGATTTGAACTCAGGTCTATCCTGATTTCAGGGCCAGTGCTCTATCCACTGCACCACCTAGCTCCCCCAGTGAGGGTCTAAATAAAGAGGGTGGATGAGAGAAGAGGTAAAGAAATAAGAGGTGTTGTGGAGGTAGAAACAGCAAGATTTGGCAGCTGTTGGGTTTGTGAGGGAAGAGAAAATGAGACATCAAAAATAATTCCAGGCTCATGAACCTGGAAAACTGGAAAAAGTAGAAAAGCATGGAAGGAGAGTGAATTTTGGGGAGATGAGTTCTGTTTTGGACATGTTGAATTTGAGATGTCTCTGGGACATCTAGTAAGCAGTTGGTGATGTGTTGTTGAAGCTCAGGGGAGAGACTGATGTAAAAGCTATATTTGTGTGTGTGTGTGTGTGTGTGTGTGTGTGCGTGTGTGTGTGCAATCTGTGAATCATCTGCAAAGAGATGATAATTAAATCCCTAGGAGTTGATAGTCACCACAGAGAGTAAAGAGGAAAAGCATAGTATCAAAACCAAAGAGGCTAATAGTTTTGCTGCATGCTACCTTTGTCTGAGTATATGTGGAATATTGTATTCAGTTGTGAAAGTCATGCTTTAGGAAAGACATTGATAAGCTGGAGTGTATCTATGTGATGATATACTTGGAAAACCTACCATATGTGCATCATTTGAAAAAACATTTAGCCCAGAAAATAGGATATTTATTGGAAATGTAGGTGTCTTCAGGTATTTGAAGGGCTGTTATGAAAGAGGAATTAGACATAGTTTGCTTGTCCCCAGAGAGCAGACCCATGAATAATGGATGGAAGTGACAGAGAGACAGATTTTGACCTGATGTAAAGGAAAAGGACAAACTTCCTTAAAATAAGACTGTCCAAAACTGGAATGGGATGTTGTGGGTAGTAGTGAGTTTCTCATCACTAGAGGTCTTATGATGGGGGCTGGATAATAATTTATGGGTGAGCAAACAGGTAGAAGTTGGATTTGCTGGCCTCTAAGGTCCTTTCCAAATCATAGATGCTTTAATTCCTAGAGGCCTTTTAAGGTATGAATGATCAAGGTTTAACAGTTGGAGGACCCTGGAGCAGTAGAGGACCGGAGGAGAGAGCAGCCAAAGCCTGAATCTGATGGGACAGGGCGGTGACCAGGGCCTTGGGGTCATCCTTGATCCTTCATTCTTCCTCACCTTCATTTCTAATCATTGTCAAGTCTTATCTTTTGTATCTCTACAACATATTTAATTTTTTATCCCTTTTTCTGTGCTCATATTGCAATCACTGCGCTTCAGGCCCTCATCTTGCCTGGACTACTGCATCTAGTCTCCCTAATAGATCTTCTCACCCTCAGTTTCTCCCCTCTCCTCCTATACAACTGCAAAATTCATCTTCTTAGAACACAAGTCTATTCTTGTTACTTCCTAACTCAAGAAGTTTCATAGTTTTCTATTGTCTTTAGGATGAAATATAGTCATCTCAGTTTGTCATGTAAAGTTCTTCAAAGTCTGGCTCCAACCTAGCTTTCTAGCCTGGTAGCTAGTGCTTTCTCTCTCTTGCTCTCTCTGTCTCTTTCTGTCTGTCCTCTCTCTCTTCTGTTTCCTAGCCTTATGCTTTCATTTTATTTATTTTTTAAATTTCGTTTTGAAAATTCTGAAAATTCTGTGCTGTGCTTGGTACATAGTAAGTGCTTAATAAATGTTGACTGATTGAAGAACAGCAAATCCATGTTAACAGCATAATACAAAAGAAATCTATATGAAAATGTAAATCTCCATTTTACATTGTATTTAAAAAATTGCTGTTCATTTGGTGATCTCATCAGCTTCCATCGATTTCGGTTGTCATCTCTATGCTTAGCTCTACTTATCCAGACTTGCATCTTCAGTTGTCTGTTGGGCATCTCAAATTATATCCCATAGACATCTTAAACTCAGTAAGTCCAAAACTGAATTCAGCTTGGGACTTCCTTGTCACAGTCCCATATCCCTTGTAGGAGACAGTTCCTGACTTTTTAATACAATTAAGTGCAAAATTACATGTAATTTATGAATGACTTGCTAACTTCATGACACAATGACCAGAAATTTGTCTTTCATCAAATATCTGTTCTTTAATTTTACTTAATATTATCTATCCCTCAAACTCTGAAACCCATCCTCTTGCCTTTCACTGTGCATTTATTCCCTGCCTCCCAGGGCCAGATTTGCATTGCTGCAAAAGTCATAGATTGATCTCTAGCTAGAGATTTCAGAGAGGGGGCCTGCTATAATCAATGATGTGTGGTGATCACAGGATGTTAGAATTTTAAAGCAAGGGAGGACTTTAGAATTATCTAATCAAACACCCTGAGAGCAGCGACAAGATGCCCCATGTGGCTAAGTTCACAAAAATTAGTGAGTAGCCGATTTGGAATTCAATTCAAACCAGCTCAGGTCTCTTCTGTAAACTATCCTCAGTTCTTTACATCGAACTGATTGGCAAGGGAAGTAAGTGTGTGTGTGTGTGTGTGTGTGTGTGTGTGTGTGTGTGTGTGTGTG